AAGTTACAACTTGAACTGTATTGGATATGACTTACATTTTCAACTATCAGAGTGTGAATATATATGTGAAAAACCTGTTTATTAGCTCTTTGTCCTTCAACAGTGGTGGTGTAATAGCAGCATTGGCTGCTGTTAGTTTTGTTCCAACAAAGTAACATTTTTGTGGTCCTTAATCAAAAAACCCTTATTCTCTCCAAACTAGAGATGGAACTGAATGATCCTGGGACAAAGGCATGGATCCAAATGGGATTTTTCCTTTTCAGTATGGGCTCCAGCTATGATTAATCACCTTTTATTTCAGTGGAATATACTTGCTTCTGTAAGTGAGCTTTTTCACCTCTCAGAGGGAACTGAAAAAGAGGGGTATTTTATTATGCTTTGGATCACTGATGAGGAAAGGCTCATTTGTACAATTCACTGAGCAAGTCTTTTGGTCTATTTCTTGTTAGAGACAAATTATATGGTTATATGTAAGTTACAACACAAAGTACTCAGATGTTACATAAAATCAATACAGTGCTTTCTGAAACGAAACATACATTTTAATGCCTTTATTATTTCTCTTGTGACCAAAAAGGAGAAAAGATATATGCACTGTAAAATAGACAGAACCCATTCAAGGGTTGTTACTTATTGTTCTGTTGCTGTTACTGCTGGGAAAATAGTAGTAATTTTTAAAAATCATTTCTACATGATCTGCTTTTGTGTGAACTGATAAGAAAATATGTTCTTTCTGCACATGCAACACATAAGGAGTGTTTACTGTCCATATGGTCTCTTTAGGGCTCTGAAATTAGAATTTCTGTGGTAGTGAGTTGTGAAGCAAAAAAGCAATTATCTGAGTGCGTAAAACTGACGTTTACATCCTGCCTGTGTATAAAATCAGCATAAGAAGGACAGGAAAAGCATTAGCAGTGTGCCACCTATGTGGAAATCCTGTATATTATAGGCTAGTGTTGAGCTCTGCTAATTTACTTCATCTGCAGGGCTGCCCCAGTGTTTTGTACAAACATCTGCTGTGACACATGACACAGAGCCCAGAAATGTGCACCAGAGGGTATTGCCAAAGGTGCTTCATCACAACAGGATTAAAGGACGTGAAAGACTCGTGTGGCTCCATTAGCAGGAGAAATTAGGTCTTTGATGCTGCAGTGGTACATTTCATTCCATATCTGAGTCATCCCAGCATGCCAAGACACAGCGGGATTTCCGCTTATCGAATCCTCTGACAGTATTCCTGATATAGCACATGATACCGCCTGCACTGGGTTGGCTTCTTGGGTTTCTTGCATTAAACCCCTCCTTAATATCAAAATGTGTTGGTAGGCCTGTCACAGCCAGTGTGACTTCAGCTCCTGCGCAGCATGTACTTGTGTTTGCTGCCAAATCATCTTAAATAGAAGATGCCCATTCAGTTTTGAGTGTGCTGTAAAACTATTCTTTCATCTTTCCAAAGACTTCATTTTCTTTTTCAACTAAAAGTTCTAAAAGCTGTGTGAATGAGCAGTCAGATGCATGCCATTGGATCACTTTCACACTGCCCAGTGTGGGTTCTGTTCTGTTCAGGCATTACATTGCTCCCATCACGGGTTTGAGTGTACATACTGTGTACAAGCACACACACGTTTTCCTTTGTTTCATTCTCTTAATAATAATGTGCCCTCAGTATCTCCACCAGTAAGGAAGATAAAACACTAAGAAGAAAATGAGGAGTGGAAGGGTTTCATGATAAGATGTGTGTTGAGAAAGCAAAGCTTAATTTCCTTTACAAAGAGCTATATCCCTGTATTTAATTCCTGACTGTTATGTTTTTAGGGATGGTGTTCACAGCTGACTTGGTTATGAGCACTGTGTCTTCTGGTAATTAAAACTCAGAGCATTAAATTCTTCTTGAGAATGGAGTTCCAGACACTGGGTCTAATATTGGTCATTTGATCAAATGCAATTTGGTTACATTTTTAACCAGTGTGCCCATATTTCCTCTGTGCCATGAACACTAACAAATTTGAACATATGCAGAAAGAGTGAAAAAATCTGGATATTGCACATTCAAGGAGCTTAGTTTGAGGGATATAAGACAGTGTTTTTGAGCTTCAGAGTATCTACAACTATTAGTTGCTTTGATCACTGCTAGGATTTCAGGTTTCATACCCCAAACTTATCAACATTTTTTAAATGTAGAACTTTTATGGACTTCAGTGGGAATAGGAGCAATCCAATATCTTAACAAAAAAACCCAAACAAACAAAACAAACAAACAAAAAAAAAAAATAAAAAGAAGAAAGAAAACAAACAAAAAAGATATCTTTCCAAAAGATGTTATACAGCACAAAATATTCAATTGATTGATTCAGGTCACTAGGCTCAAAGACAAGTGTTGAAATTATCCAAATTAAAAACGAGTCATTTTAATATAAAGCCTCCTGAGTGTCAAATTCTCAGACGACCATGTGATCTTGGTGAATACTGCTTAAATCATACTTCATCCCCATTCTGCAATTGCTCTACAGATGCGTGTTATTGCCTTCGAGTAGGAATGGGTGAGACTTCAAACTTAGCACATCAGGTCAAGGGTACCAGTTCCCCACCAACACTTAGTCTCTAGAGATGCCTCTCCAGAGAACTCATAAAAAAATAACAAAATGGTGATTAAAAATATCAATAAACTAGATCTTGAAAGATTGCTACAGGGTGGGTAAGCATTGACTGTCCTCATTTTATGAATGGGAGAATCCAGACAGAAAGATAGTGTCTTGGGAATAGTAAGTTAAGTATCTAGGCAGAGCTGAGAAGAAAAGCCAGAGCTGTGTGCTCTACCCACCACACCACAGATCCCTCAAATACAGCCCATGAGCTTCTACCTGTGTCCTGGGAAGCCTCAAAACTCAGCTTACAACAGCTTGTAAAATAATCCATCTTTGACATAACAATCTCATTATTGAGGCCAAGGCAGCTACGGTCTCTGCTTCAGCAGTGCCTTGCTCATGAGCTGCGGTGCAGTCCCCAGCCTGAGAGGTAACCAAAAAATTGCCCTGCCTGAAAGAGCAAAACACTGGCAGCTCTGGTATGTTGTAAAGGCACACAGAGGACTTACCAAAGGTATTTTATGCTGTTTTGCAGTGATGAACAGATCAAATCTATAGTTCCGTTGTACAACTCACTGCTAAGTATGCACAGCATTTAATTTTCCTTTCATTTCTGAAATGTTTCATGGATGCCAAACTAATCAAGAACTTCAATAGCAAATCAAGAAGCTAAAAGTTAAATCTCATTATCCAGAATATGTTTGGTTACCGCAATCCATTCTTTATATATTAAGCATTGTTGCAATGTTAATTAACAGTGTTTAAAAATCATTATAAACACTGAAACAGCAGCCAGTGTTAACAACAGGAATAAAAGATTAGCTGGGATGAAGAGGGAGAAGCGTTTACATCAGGGGTTTTTTACGCAATATGGGGTTGCATAACTGCATACTCATTTTTTTCACGGCACGCAAACTTTTTGGGGGCAGCAGCTCGATCATGTGCTTTCCAATGCACTTACTGAGCTCATCCATGAAAAAGTGGGTTTGAATGACCAAAAATAAAAGGGCAGAGAATTCTCAGGTGAGATCATCAGGTGTTCTGGTTGCCTGCACATTTGCAGAATTTTTAGTGACCTTAGCAGCAGTTACATAAGCATGTGGAGAGAAAATAAACTCCTATGAAATGCTGTAACACATATGGTCTCCTGACAGGATGTTCCAAGCCACACAGTAATTTTATAGTCCATATGCACTGTACAGTAGTTCTTTGGTCTCAAAGCAGGAGTCAAAAATAGCATATCAGCATGAACTCCACATTCTTTGTCTTTGAGGGGCAGTCTGTGTGTTAATATTAAAACACATAATACACCATGGCTAGCTCTGTTTAACAGAAAAAAAGTGCAATCTACATGGGACTTGATTTTACTAGCTGATAACATCACATATGATATGGCTATATGATGTGCAAAAATCCACCACTGCGGGTAAATGTTTTTCCCAGGGTGTGCCATGAGGCACTTTACGGTAAGAAAAGTGTCATCAGCGATTTTTTTTTTTTGAGGGGGGCAAAGAGTTCCTGGACAGCGTGGAGGGAGAACTAATCTGAATGGTGGAATATCTTCATAGAGCAGTATATGTCACCTGGACTCTCTGGGGCCACACGGTGTAAAGACTCCACCAGTGAGTCTCATCCCAGGACGAGACTGCCAAAGGACGCAGAAGCACTAGTTGTACTGAAGCTAAATTTTGTTATTAAATATGTCAATCAGCCGTATAAACTCCCAGTGCTATATTCTGTGGTGTTTTGGTCATACAAAAGCCTCGGCGACAGAACCGAGCCCAGCAGCCAACACTTGGGAGGTCAGCCTAGGGAATTTGTTCCCAGAACGATCCACTCTGGTGTCGTATGCTCCACTCTGGTGCTGTGTGACACGCTGGGCTGACTGCCCAGCCAAGTACCTGCCCGGCTGCGGAATCAAACCAAAATCGCCCGTCCAAAGCCATCACCGAAGCGTGTCCGTGCGTTGAGCGGCGCCGCGACCCCGAGAGCCCGGGGCCGGCCGTCCCGGCGCTGACAGACCTCGGGGCGGCCGCTCTCCGCGCCCCTTCTCCCGCGGGCGGAGCGGGGCCGGCCGAACCTCCGGGCGGGCGGCAGCGTCCACCTCCGTCCCGGCTGTCCCGGGGGGCAGCGCCATGCGGGGCCCGCGGGGGGCTGCGGGGCGCGGCGGGGCTCGGGCGGCCCTGGCGCTGCTGCTGGCGGCCGCTCTCGCCCCGCGCCCGGCGCGGCCGCACCCGCAGTGCCTGGACTTCAAGCCGCCGTTCCGGCCGCCCCGGGGCCTCGCCTTCTGCCGCCGCTACGCCGAGTTCGGCTGCTGCGACCCGCGACGCGACAGCGCCCTGCTCCAGCGCTTCTACCGCCTCAGCGCCCGCCTCGACGGGCACAGCTACGCCGCCTGCGCCGGGCACCTGCAAGACCTGCTCTGCCAGGTGAGACCAACTGCAGGACCAGCTCTCCCGGAGCTCCTGCTGCATAGCGGGGCTCCTGCCGCACAGGGGCTACAGCCGCGCTGGAGGCTCCAGCCGCACAGGGAAGGGTCTTCCAATGCGCAGGGAACATCACCAGCCGCACAGGGGTATTCCACTCCCTGCAGAGAGCTCTGGCATCGGCATGGATGCTTCTGCTCAGTCACGGGGCTTTGGCCCAGGTGTGTGTGCATCCACCCGAGCAGGGCTGCATCAAGCTCAAGTATGGATGCTTTGGAAGAGACATGGGTGCATTGATCCCAGGGGGATGCACTGGCCTAGGCACAGGGTCTTTGGACAATCCAGGGGAGTGTGAGCCTTGGCATTAGTTCCCAGGCCTGGACAGGAGTACAGGAACCACCTCACAGGTGCATCAGCCATGGTATTCATGCCTGGGCCAAGGCATGGGTGCACTGGCCCACACATGAGTGCATTAGGGATAGTGCAACAGCCTAGGCACGTGCTCCCATGCACTGGCAGGAGCACCTGTCCATCATCAGGTATCCCAGTGGACCTTTTGTTCTTTGGTACATGTCTGAAACAGGAACAGGGATGTTGCTCTGCTTTAATTTATGAGCAGCAGTGCTCTGAGGTTGGTATGTGGACAGTTACAAGTGGACCTGGTGAAGGCACCCATGGGGGACCTACCTGCACAAATCATGCTCCTTGTTATGCCCAGTTAATGGGGTCAGGTGGGTTTCTTTGCTTTGGGTTACACCATCCAGAGATGCTTTTAGCGTGTGCCAGGTGCTAACAATCCTGATGATGGGTGCAGAGAAATGCCCGAGGATGTGGCCTAGAAACCTCTGTGATGGCCATCCTGCACAGGGAGGAATTTCCACTCAGGGTTGATGTTCTGTGGCCAGATACGATAACAGGAGGATCACAGTCTGCACAGAGCAAAGCCTCTGACCCTATCATCAGTGGTGCCCTCACATGTATGAAAATGCCCCTGAGACAGAACAGTGGAGGCTCTGCGCTGTGCAAGTGTAAATCTTAAATTAATTCAGACAGCAGAGTCTCGTCTGCTCTGCTCGGACAGGATCAAAGTGGCTTTTCAGAAATCCTGCTCTTAGCATTTTGCAGGGTACCTCTTGTGTTCCTGAAAGCGTGAAGAGAAAGACAACCCTTTTCCACATCAGCTTCTAGAGACTTGACTTCTATTTCATCTCTCATTGTACTGGAAGCAAAAAAACTTTGAATGTATTCCTGAAACAAGCGATGTCCAAAAGTCATTTGCAGATAGGAAACCAGTTAGCAGTGCCTGATAAGCACTCCTGCCTCTGGAAGCAGTAACTAAATCTCCTGTTTTCATCAGAAAGCCAACTGAAAATGTGTTCAGAAATAGAGATATTTCAATGTGGGAGAAATGATTCACTAAAATGTTCAGATGAGCTCAGTGCATCACCAGCCCAGATGTGGCTACAAAATACCACCACTGGTTGCACAAGTATGAAATGGAAGTTCAGATGTTGCAAACAATCTAGAACATTATGCTTCCATTCATCCATTGCATATACAGTTGGTATCCTAGACCTGAATTAATAAGTGGGTTTCTGTGGCTTATTGAGCACACTTCTGCTCACAATTCATGATTTCTCTCAAATGTGATCAAATTATTTTGACAAGTGTCTCAGCTTACAGTTGTGGTGAGGATTCTTATCTTTTAAATTTGTAGAATAATTGAATAGTTTGCGTTGGAGGTATCTAGTCCAAGACCCCCTGCAATGAGCAGGGACAGCTTCAACTAGGGTTGCTCAGAACCCCATCCAACCTGTCCTTGAATATTTCCATGTATGGGGCACCTACCACGTCTCTCAGCAACCTCCTCCAGTGTTTTACCACCTTCATTGTAAACAACTTCTTTCTTATATCTAATCTATATCAACCCTTCTTCAGTTTATCTGGTTGTATCACTAAACACCCTTGTAAAAAGTCCCTCCCCAGCTCTCTTGTAGCCTCTTTAGATACTGGAAGGTGCTATAAGATTACCCTATTCTCTCCCATACTATGGAAGAGAAGATGCCTCATTCTGCTTCTCAAGGAATATCTTGCTTAAAGGCTTGAGTTTCCAGATGGAGGTGGACAAGGAAGGTCAAGGAGAAGGTGAAAGTTAAATGCTTTTCTGAGGAGTTCTGTTGTTTCCTCTAGGCTGACAGCAACAGTAAATAAGCCATTGTTTGATGTGGGTGTTCCTTCAGACTCAGACTGTTGTAATTCCTCAGATAAGTAGCTGCCACTGAATTCCTGGAATAGATAGGATGGATTTGGCTGGCTTGTCTTAATGTGACTTATTTTGTTTTCTGATGAGTCATTTTCATAGTGCAAACCCTTTTCAGTGCTACTGAAGTTACTGATTGTTTGTCCATTGTTTCCTTGGTCTTTGGACCACATCATAGTTTAAAATGAATGAACAGACCATGTAATTTGGAAATGAGAATTTAGAACTATTAGTGATGCTGGGCTGTGACTAAGGGTAGAGTTGCTTGGTATTTTGAGCTAAGTGAACATGACAGGATAATGTGAAGGGTGAAGGACCACAACATTTGCTTCAGAAGCAGAGAAACTCAGGATCAGGCATGAGGCTCCATCTCTCATGGAATAAAAGTTGGAAAATATTTCACATGTGTCTGGAAAATACCCTAGGCACATGCTTGGGTACTGTCTGGCTAGTGATAGATCTCTGAATATCACTGTTGGTGTAATGCTGCTGTAATTAGCCATGTGCCACCAGGAATATGGTAAGGATGGAAGAAGTTGCCCACAATTGCTATTCAAACACACCTGAGGCTGGTGTGAACAGCCTGCAAGGCAAAGCAACAGGGAAGCCATACTTCTGGACTAGTTTTAATTCTGAATCTAAAGCCAGGGCATTGCTTTATAATGCATAAGATCACTGCTTGCTGTGAAAGATGCATTCAGAGAACTGAGGTACACCAGGGTACTCAATGGAGGGGCCTCCTTCCTCTGAATGAGAAACCTCCATAGGCAACAACATATTGAGCTCTCACCCAGCCCCCCCATCAAATTCCCTTTCTGTCTCATTTCAATTTGCTTTCTAAGGCAAATTTTTCAGTCATTACAACTGAATCGACTAACGCTCCCTCTCTTTCTGTCCCTCTCCCTGGCACACCTCATGTAACTGAGCCGAGTGCATTACCCAGTCTGCCTGTGTAATTTCAATGATTTGTGTCACATGCAATCTTCTTTTTACCACATTCATTGCTGCTCATTCGAGGGCATAATAACCTTCATTTTGCAATGAATGGCTTGACATTCCAGGAGGAAACCTTATTGTGCACTAATGATCTGTTATATGGCCCCTCAGTTTATTATGGTATGAAATGGAAAATAAAATAAAAATTAAATATTGTGTGTACTTATCAGCTAATTTAAACAGTTCAGTATCTCAAATGTTGTATCTTTTCAGCTATTGAGTAGTGCTGTAATCTGCATTAAGAGATAGCTCCCTATAGATTTAGAAACAGCTCCCTCTATTTTTTTCTTTTTACTAAGCTGGTTTTGCTTAGTCAAAAAAGAAGAACTGCAAGCTAGAAACAAAGAATACAGAATTTATTCAAGTAGTATAGTTTCTCTTCTGATCTTTCTTGCCTCAGTTTTTTATCTACCCTGTGAAAATAACTGAGCCTCCACAGAGTCATGTTGCATTATTTGAAGAGCACTTTTGAAGTGCTTGTTGGGAAGATGCATTACAACTGGACAATATTGTGTGTTTGTTACAAGGAAAAGCCCTTCCAAAGCAGAACTGAATCACTTTGGTCAGTTTGTAATTTACAGTCAGTTTACTGGAATGCAGTTTTGCATAAGAAGAATGCACTGTAGGAGTTCTCATTGTGGAGAACACAATGAACTGTCTGAACTTGATCCAGTCCTCAGGTAGATTTCCAAGGCTGCACCTTCCATAAACAAAGGCTGAGCTGCAGGTCCAGCCAGTGGACATTGCCTGGACTGTGGCCTTTGGTGCTCACGGAAATCCCTTGCAGAACTTGGTGAGCCATGTCATGATTATGAGAAATCATGAGATTTCACTGCTCCTGGCTGGGGATATAAACTGTCTATAGGCAAAGATCCACTAGCAAAGGCAGCTGGACCCAAGCAAGGATGGTGTATGTAGGGAGAGCATCCTTCTCCCCTCTTCTTCTACTTTCTCATTCCACTCCTTCCAAGCTGTAAATCCTACCCATGTCTGAGGTGCATGTCTGGATTATCAGATGATGAGGTATGAATGTTGCAGGCTTTGGCCCTGGTTGCCTTTCCCATTCTCTCATCATTCTGGAGATACAGGACCTGAATCTTCTCAACTAATTCTTTGGTTTCACTTCTGTGCTGTGATGAATCTTCTTGTTATTTCATAGATAAAGTCACAGCATCCAAGAAAGAAAAGCCTCTTTTTCTCCAGTACACCCCTAGGGTGATGTAGCAACATAGGCACCATTGCTGTGATTGGAATAAAGAAGCATGAGGAAGCCAGCTTTCACCGGGAATATTGAAGATCATTTCCACAAATGCTGAGATAAACCCCCTTTTTAAGATCTTTTCCTCTGTTAACATATCTTCAGAATAAACCACAATGTATCTTGTAATTAAGATGAAGTATCTTCAATTAGTATCACCACTCAGCTGTTTCAAATCTGGTCAAAGAAATGACCTGAGGTTTTTTCTCTCTGCTTCTAGGAATGCTCTCCATATGCAGCTCACTCATATGATGCTGAAGATCCCTCCACCCCCGTGCGGACGATACCAGGACTTTGCCAGGACTATTGCACGCAAGTGTGGCAGAACTGCCGCTCCATCTTTCGCCTCCTCTCTGCAGACCGAGAGTTAATTGCACTGGAAAACAACAAGGCAAAACTCTGCCGTTATCTGACCTTGGAGGACACCGACTACTGCTTCCCACACCTGCTGGCTAACCAGAACCTTAACCAAAACCTGGGGTTAGTCACAGCTGACGCGGAGGGCTGTCTCCAGCTCTGCCTAGTGGAGGTCGCCAACGGGCTGCGCAATCCCGTTGCAATGGTGCACGCCAACGATGGCACCCACAGGTTCTTCATTGCAGAGCAGGTTGGCCTGGTGTGGACCTACCTCCCCGATGGATCCAGGCTCGAAAAGCCATTTCTGAACGTCAGCGAAGCCGTACTTACCTCCCCGTGGGAAGGAGATGAGAGAGGGTTTCTAGGTATTGTCTTCCACCCTAAATTCAAATTTAATGGTAAAGTTTATGTTTACTATTCAGTTGAAGTTGGTTACGAAGAGAGAATCCGGATCAGTGAGTTCAGAATTTCTCCTACTGACATGAATGCCTTGGACCATAATTCTGAAAGGTACTGTATACACATTTCTCTGCCAAATGTATTTAAGATTTCAGAGGGCAACTTGTGCATTTTTAAAGACTATTAATTAATGGGACTTATTTAACTTAATATTGTTCTTGCAATCCAGTGTGTTAGCACGTTAGTCCAAGTTCATGTCTAGCATATTGAAGTACAGAATGTGTGTGTCCTCCATGGATGAACTGCAAGTGTTCAGGGATAAAACATTTACAATTCTCAGTTCTAGTATGTCAGAGGATTTAACTGAACATGGATGAAACATTATTTTACAGTTAGTATTTTGGTTTTTTGGTTGGGTGTGGATTTTTTTCTGGTTTGGTTTTTTTTGTTGGTTGGTTTTCTTATTGTTATGATTACACTTTAAAATAGACATCGGCAAATTCATTCTGAAGCCAAAGGTTTCCAAAATCAGTATGAGCAAACTGAGTGATGCTAGACCAAAGATGGGTTTGGTCTCATGTTTCTTTATCTGAACAACACCTCAACCCTGTGATATTAGAAATTTAACATCAAATTAAATAAAATGCAAGCCACTATGTTATTACGAAGTGCATTTTGATTGGAAATGTCATTTGTTTGAGTCTGATCCTGCAGTTGATCCACATTAATATGTGTCTTGTTTGTGGAGTCGATCTATAGATTTAACCATGTCATAGATCTGCTGTTTTAAGAGATCCTTGAAAGTTATGAATGCTAAGATATTTTCTTGATATGTGATTTGAATCAGGGGCTTTCCAAATACTCAGCTGTGGATGATTCTAGCTCAAAAATGCATGTAGCCTAATGATAGAAAGGGGATGCTGGTTTATAAAGCAATTAGAGCAATTCAGTGTAAGCAGCACTGTAGATGACAGGTAAGGGGAATTAAATGTGGTCCTCAGGAAAGCAAGTCAGGACCTTAAACGTGCAGATGTCAGGGCCCATGAGCTGTCTTGTTTAAAAATCCTCAGGGTCTATGTTTGTAACATTTTCTTTGCTTATTTAGCTTATGGTTAGTACGGCAAAAGCTTAAGGAAACAGAATTGTGGTCCTGTTGTGCTTGTGTAGGCACAGGTCCCACTGACTTCATCCTGTGATGCTGCCCAAGAGGGAGCTCAGGCTGACATGTGGTGTGTGTTGTCTCGGCACAAAGGCGTGTGTCTGTTTATCCTCAGATACTTGCTCAATGTATTTTGGGTTTTTTCCATCTTCTTTGGGAGGCTGAGGAAGATTTACCTCTGTGTCTGCACGGGATCCTCCTTTGCTCCTTCTGCTAGTTGGAGTCTGTGCACTCTTGCACAATTACCTTATCACAGAGGTGGTGACATTTAACAGGAGGTGACAATAACTCCGTAGTTGGGTTCCTTCCCACAACTCACAATAACTATCAGCATTTCAGACGGGAAAAAAACTAGCTAAAAACGAAGCAGTATAAGTGAATATTATAATTTGCTTTTTTTCATGCACTGCGAGCATGAAATCCGGACTTTTTTTAAAAGCTGGAGTGAAATAAACTTCAGTTGTTACACCTGGAAACCTTCACTGCATAGATTTGTGGCTTTACCATTCTATAAAATTATACTTTAGATATTTTACCCTTTCCTTACTATGAAAGGTGCATAAAATAAACAAATAAAAGAGAGAGTTTGGGTTTAATATTGAGGTAAAGTTTGTTGGTACTCCTTTGAATAACCTTTGTCAAAATGTCAGTTTTTTCGTAGGGCAGCTTTTAACTGCTCTTTAAACTCGTAAGGTCCTGAGTGTGTAATTCTCATTTAAGGATTCTTCTCTCTGTGAGAATTCAACTATTCCTTAATGTTTGAAAAGTTTTATGTTTGCCTTGAAAGAGCCTGTCAGGATTGTGCCAAATGCTGTACAGATGCACAGATGGACTAGAGTCCTTTCTCTTTCAGTTTACGACTGGATATAAACTCAGGTGCCTTTTCTTTGAGAAATATAAAGAAAAATAAAAAAGAACTTTAACAAGGAGGAAGAAAGAATCAGAGGAAAAGTATAAGTAATTAAAAATATATCTTGTCGTGTGATTTCACAGATTTTCCATATTGCACAATTTGGCGTTTCTGTAATCTGGAAAATATGTTGGAACTATTTAAGGTTAGAAAATCAGTTATGGCCAAGCAAAATTCAGTAACGTGGATGTGGAGGAATTTGTATCAAAACTGACCTGTAACCTTGGCATCTGTCAAGGGCAACATTGGCATGACATTGCTCTGCCCTTTGCTTAGGTAATTGGCGCAGATAATTGCCTTCTCCCTGTTTTCATTTAGGATAATCCTGGAAATAGAAGAACCTGCTTCCAACCATAACGGAGGAGAGCTGCTCTTCGGAGATGATGAATATCTCTATATATTCACTGGAGATGGAGGCATGGCTGGGGATCCTTTTGGGACCTTTGGAAATGCCCAGAACAAGTAAGTGTGGATCCATCCCTGTCGCAGCTCCAGGCTACCAACACTGCTCCACGGAGCAGTGCAGTGTGGGAAGTCAATGACAGCCACCTGAAGGCTGTTTAGAGGCAAAGAAATTGTCTTGAAATGGTTGTTTTTTTCAGAGATATTCAGAGACTCATCTTTTTCAAGACAGAAAGAATGAAACCCTAGACCTTCCAAAACCCCCGTCTCTGATGTTTAAGCAAGGTCTAGTTTTATTTATTTATCTTTTCCTCTTTCTCTTTTCTTCTCCCAATACAGATCAGCCCTGCTGGGTAAAGTGCTGCGGATCGATGTGAACAACAACGACCGTGGGCCCCTGTACCGGATCCCTCCTGACAACCCTTTTGTCCACGACCCTACCGCTCGCCCTGAGGTCTATGCTTACGGAGTGAGGAATATGTGGCGCTGCTCTTTTGATCGGGGTGACCCTCACACCAAGGAGGGGAAAGGGCGGCTCTTCTGCGGAGATGTGGGGCAGAATAAATATGAAGAAATTGACATCGTCGAGAAAGGGAAAAATTACGGCTGGAGAGCGAGGGAAGGGTTCAGCTGTTATGACAAAAAACTTTGCGCCAACTCTTCCATGGGTAAATAGATGTGTTCTCTAAACTACCTGCATCTCCCACTGCACAGTTTTCTGTGCCATCATTTTTAATTCCTGCCCTCAAACCCTGGCTGCTTGGTTGGTAACATACCTCTTTGAGATGTAAATCTATACTGTCTCAGTCTAGAAGGGGACTGACTTGGACATAAATATTGAAAGTCCAAATGTTATTGTTTCTGAATTAGGACGAAAGTGAAACAGGTTAGCTGTTGTTTTTCTAGGTGATCTGTGTTGTTAGTCAAATTACTTGGTGACAAGGGGACAATTTCATCTTTGCCACATGAAATAAGCTTTCATGCAAGAGCAAGAAGAATTTGGAGCAATTGTATTTTTCTCCATAACTCACAAGTAGTTTCCTTATTTTTGAAAAAAAGAGCAAAAACATATTATGTAAGCTGATCAACCCTTATGCACACTGCCTGCTTTGCAGGTATCTGAATGTATGGTGTATCTTTGTTTCTTTTAGCTATGTCAAAAAGGCAAAGCTTATTTTTTTTCAACTTTTTAAACTGTTCAAAACTGGATTCAGGGTATTTGCTGGCTGGCCAAATTCCAGTGCATGTGTGAAGTCAGAGCGTATTGTGTTGCAAGGTCTGATGTGGACCACATCTTATGCTGGAGCCTCTCCCCAGAGATCCAGGGGGGCAGTGGGCTGGAACTGATTTGCATCAGCTGAGATTCTGATTTTTTTCTCTTCTACACGCTATGTCCTATGTGTTGTTATTTAACTTTCTCCCTTTTATTAACTTAACTATAATTATGATGGTAGTGATGAAGTATTTCTTATAAAAATTTTGAGAGCAGGGAGCAGATTTTTCACACTCCCTTTCTGAAGCAGTTGTCAGACAGCTCGTTTAGCGCTCTCCTGTGTGTCAGCATCACGTGAGCATTCGTGACAGGCATTGTACTGAGGTCTCTAGGGATTCGGAACAATTTTTGATGCCTTTAGAGACCCTTTTGTTAGAACAGTGAAATGTCACAGCCCTTTTAGAATAAGTACAGCTGAAGTGTAGAAAACACCTGCTTTGGATGAAATGCCTCTAGTGCAAGTTCCTCACTGGCAGAGTGGCCAGGTTTGCTCCTTGAGGCATTTGCTACACAGTCAGGGAGAAACGCTGTGAGGACAGGAAGGAGTAGGTACCATGAGGTAACTGTGACCCAGGAGTTTTCAAAAGAGAGGGAAGAAGGCACCAAATCAAGACCCTCAAAATCAGGACATCTCCCTCTGTTTTATGTCTGTCTTGTATTTTAACTTACATTTTAAATGAATATGCCAGTACTACATCAAGCCTCTGCCATACCATAAATATTTGATGGCCCTTTCAAGTCAGCTCCCCCATCTCAGAGGAAGAGAAGCTATTTGTGCTGACATCTGACATATCTTTTCATCAGTGCCTGCAGTCTGGAGTTACCCATCTCTTTTTTTCCTTTCACCACCTAAAAAAAGCTGCACTGAGGAAATATCTCCTGCATGGATGTGGTGACTCCAAGAGTAACCTGCGAATTCTTAGCGAAACCACCCAGGTTCTGTAGAAATGGGCCAGAAGTGGCACTAAAAGAGATGAGCTGTAGTGGGAGAAGGACTCAAGAGAGCAGTGCGGTCTCAGTGAGTCTTGGTGATTGGGCAGGCCTATCAAATGTGATTCCAAAAAGGTGAATATCAAACTAAATACAACTCTGTCATCACTTCATTTAAATAGGTGCTCCAGTGAACCTGACTGCATGCTGCTAGTCTCAGAACAATCTAGCTAAACAGCTATTCTGCAGTGCATGTCAAACAAGTCACAGATCTTTTCTGCCCTGCAGATGATGTGCTCCCAATTTATGCGTATCCACACAAAATGGGGAAATCTGTTACAGGAGGTTATGTTTATCGTGGCTGTGAGTCTCCAAACCTGAATGGCCTGTACATATTTGGTGATTTTATGAGTGGGTAAGTAAACACTTTGGACACTCATCAAGTTGTAACCCTAGCCAAAATGTCCCCAAATCTTATGGTACTCAAACCCTGCCCTCTTTTTTTTTTTAATGGGTTTGTGTTGCCACTGAAAGACAAGGGGTTGCATGCAGGGTGTATAATACATTTGGTTTAATATTAACAGTTCTTCATTTTTCAGAAAAGCTGCAGTTCCTATTGCAGCTACTGTGGGTAGGAAGCATTAAACATCCTTTCAGGTGTCCACGTTAGTGTTCATAAATCACCTTGGTTGGGCTGTGGAAGTGTTCTTTTGCCTTGCAGACGCCTGATGTCTTTGAAGGAGGATCATGCTACTGGAGAGTGGCAGTACAGTGAAATCTGCATGGGGACAGGACAAACGTGCATGTTCCCTGGGCTTATCAACAACTATTACCAATACATCATCTCTTTCGCTGAAGATGAAGCAGGTAATCTTTTAACTTTTTTTGTCACACTAGATGACATGTTTGTGTTTTCTCTTCAGACTAAAACACCAGAGAAGGGATCAGAGAGGGCTCCTGGGAGCAGCGGGTGGAGGGGAGGCAAAGCATGAGTCTATTAGTCTTTAAAATGGGTGGGTGAGATTCTCAGCATCTCCCAAACACCAAACCAAAGTTACAATGCTAATTTTTGGGGTCTGTGTGCCATAGAGTGCCTGCAGGGGGAATTGGAGAGTCAGTTCCCTTGGGACTGATTCTGGGTGCACTGGACTGTGCTGCTGCCTGCATATCTACCCTCTGGAGAGCAGGGAACAGTGGGGGCAAGTAGAATAAAACACAGCTTAGAAAAGAAACCTCATTCTTCACAGTGCCACGCTGTGGGGAATGGAGGCCCTGGCAGCCTGAGAAGCTGATACTCAAGCGCGAGCAAGTCTATGTTCTTGGCTAGTCAAGAAGGCTGTGGGCATTATTAATGGATACAGGGAAGCAGATATCATGAACAGCAATTATGTACCTGCTCACCCTGGGCTGGGATATTTGTAACTCTCCAGGTGAAGCAGAATGAAAGCTCTGTGTTATGTCTTGAGTGAGGCATCAGCAAAAGGCTGCTTAAGTCCATATTTTATTAGTGTCACCTGGGATTTTCCCTTGCATAGGACTGAAAGTCTCAGTGGAGCTTTGCATAGCTGTGTTTTCAAAACTGGAGAAATTTTACTTTCTAGAAGGGAGATGCTGTGATTTGAAAAGGAGGAAATAAAGAATCCTGGGGTGAAAGTTGTTGGTTGCTCCCATTGTGTGTACAGGGCTATTCCAGAGTGTGCAGCCCCTGCAGCCCCTGGACACGAATGGGGGGAGCACAAGCCCCACAATGTTCAACACCATTGCTGAGTGACACACCACATGTGTGACCCAGCAACGCAGGAGTTGTGTTCTGCCCTGTTTCAGGGGGGTCCTGGCTCACAGTCACAAACACCTGCTTCCAGAATGCCCCAGCTTTTAAAAATCTGGTTTTCCTGCAGATTATGTCAAGTTTGGATGTTGCACAAATAATATGAATGCAAATTTTATTTTGTAAATGCAAATCATCCAAATTAAGTTATTATCTTGAAAGTTTGACTTCTTTTTTTTTTTTTTTTTTGAGTTAAATTCCAATTTCTTTAATGGTTAATATTCATGGAAGTTAGAGATATTTCACAGTGCTGTGGTGAGAAGGATATCTTACCCTAAAATCAAGTAACTTAGTTCAAATCATCTTAATGTCAAGTGCAATATCAAGCTGTTAATGGTGGCCCTTGCTCATGCACGTGGGAATCATGTCCCTTGTCCTGCATCTGTCAACAGACTCTGGACAAAGTGGGGGTTAAACACCGTCACCCTTCTACCCTGCACTTTTCATGTGTACCTTGATTAAGTACAACAGAGCTGAGTGGAGATTTGGGCTGGAGTATCTTTTCAGAGGTAGTTAGTTGCTTTGTGTTTGCTTTATAGTAATGGGAAAAAAATTGTTGATAACAGTGTAGTGAGGTTGCTTTATCTTCAGTGAACATCTTTATCTTGAACGTTTTGTGTGCTGGGAATCTAATTTTTATTATTTTTTCAGTTTATTTTAACAAGGTTTTCTTCACAGAAGTATTTGAGTTTTGGGGTTGTTGCTCTGATGAATGTTAATCTGACTGGTGTAGTCGATGTGTTTATTTGGTGGAGACATCTATATTTTTGGCTCATTGCATGACCATTATAAAGCCAAAAACCCTGTGCCTGGGCAGTGGAATGTCCAGGACACCCCAGGCACTGTGACATGTCTGTGGGGCACATGTGTGTAGCCTCTGTGCTTCATGGCCTTAGCATCCATACCTCTGTCTGATAACTTTCAGGAAAGAGGGGCAGGATGTAAAGCACACATTACTGCACTACAAGATGCAGTGCTGGGTGTTTCCCATCTCTGTTTGGATCAAGGCTGCCTCTGGCCTGTCTTTAATGAAGCTCACCAGAAAAAGGAAGAAACCAGCCAGGGGTGGCCAGAGATGGCTGGTTTCTACCCTGGAAGCATCAAGAGGAGCTCAGACCAGGGCAGCACAGGAGAGCGGGTAGGAGGAGGGAGGCTTAGCACCAACTGCCACCAATTCCCACACCTTCCTTTGCTCACTCTGACCCCTCTGCTCCTTCCCTTCTTCCCTGTAGGGTACCCATAGGGCATCCAAAGAAATCTGCCTTGCTCACTAAACAAGTCTCCACGTCTCTACTGCCTCCTTTTCTTTTTTCTCTTCTTTTTTTTTTTTAAATATTGCTAATTTATTTTTTCTCTCTGATCCTTTTTGTTGCACCTCTCAAGCACTTCAGCTGGCAAAAGAGTGCCAAAGGGACTGCTTATCCCAGTCTCCCCTGCACAACAGGAGAAGGATAGAAATGCAGTTAAGAGAAAATAAGTCAAATAAATGGTGATGGACATTGTTTGGCTGAAGGTCGAGCCCTGTCCATGTGACCTGACAGAGAGGTGTGATGAACCAAATGCTTTTTGTGTGAGATACATCTCATTTTGTGAGTGTCCTAAAGAAAGGAAAAGCAAAATCTTATTCTACTGTCATTCACCCAAAGGAGTGCTTCATCCAAATGAGCAGAAGATGGTGAACTTTCCTAATTTCTTTTCATTTTGTTTCAGCAAAGGTAATTCAGGCTTTGACTGTTTTGTATTAGAGAAGTCAAAGGACACAGATCAGAATGAGATGACAAGTGAAGTCTGGGCAGGTGAACTTGCAGTGGAAATTTGTCCAAATAATATGATGCTATGTAAAAGGTCCCACTCACTAAGAGTATTTTATGCCAATGGACTGCAGATAAACTCACTACAACCCCAAATTTTAACCTGCCTTTTTTCCTCCAATATCCAGACCTCCATGCTGGTTTGCATTTCTCGATGCTCTCTGACCTGTGATATAGACTTAATGTCTTTGTGCTGTACAGGACAAAAACTCCACGGAAAGTTTTCATGGCTGTGCCTGTTTTCCTCCCAGGGGAATTGTACTTCATGTCTACTGGTGTACCAAGTGCCACGGCTCCCAATGGAGTGGTGTACAAAGTGGTGGACACCTCCAGGTATGAAATGTTCTCGTTGCAAAGCCTGGGTGTGGTGCAGTGAGTCCAGGTGTGGATGTGGTGAGTGATGTCTGACTCACTAACTCTTCTCCCATGATGGGCCCTTCTGTGAAGATTGTTCAAGGAACATCTGGAGCAACCCATTGTGAGTCTGCTTTGCTCTGGCAGTCGTGGGGCTCTGCACTGCCTGGTGCCAACTTGTTATGGGGCCTGTTGGTGTCCTGTGGGTTGGGAGATTTGTTCCTGAATGCTAAAGCTGTATTTTATAAGTAGCTTGTCTTTCTTGGGCAAAGTTGCCCTAGATTCCTGCCTGAAAGGAGGCAGTTTTTCTCCAGGTGTTTATTCTCAGTTCCTCTCTATCCCTTGTGTCCAGCTGCATCTCCCACAAGAGCCCTGTGGCCAGGCAGCTGCAGCTGAAGTTGGACCAGCGTGACCTGCAGTGCTTTCTTGGGCAAATCAGAAATGAATGTCAAAAAGTACATTTTTTTTTTTAATATTTCAAAGAGAAAAATGGATTGGACAAGAAAACAGAACCATTGTTACACCTTCTGGATTCCATGTGTGTGTATCTGAGACTGGGCAAGGCAGGGAATAGCTGTGTTTTATGGGAAGACTTACAGATGTTTTTTCCATCTTCCTGTTTTTTAAGCATTACTATTATTGGCTAAACACCAAGCTGCTTTCAGCCAGAAATGGAGAGTGAGATTTTTGTAGCTTTTATTGTTTTATATGGATTAAATTTACAGCTTTAGCTATCTGAGCATTTTGAACAAAACCACTTGTCTAGTTTTATGTTGAAACCAGTCCCCAAAGTTAAATAACCCCAGAGCTGTCACGTGTTCTCCTCCAACTCTCCTCTGTCAGGAGCATTTTCCATTATCTAACACAGCAGAAGAGTTCCTGTAAACTATGTATTAAGAGTCTGGTATTATGCAACCTTTGCAAAAATAAGGAAAGCAGAAGTCAAAATCAAGTCATAAGTTTAAGTTTAAAAAGAAGGTTTGTTCATGTGCGGAGTACAGAAAAAACTCACAGGAAAATTCATAAAAGTAGGAAACATCCTTGTGTAGGTAGCTGAGAGAAAAACTCTCTGCCTTCCACAGAAATGCAGATGCAAACAATACTAATAAAAAAGGAGCTATACACTCCTAATGCAGACACCATGCATTTTTAAGCCAACTTGAAAACCTCTGAAGAAGTCTGAGGATTAACAAGACAGCTGTCATAGGAAAAAGTGATGAGTAACTGCATGTAGCTTCTCAGAGGTGAGATATACCTCTATGGCAAACAAATTTGTGTCAAAATAATGCACTATAGTAAGAGAGAGCCCCTGTAGGAGACACTTAGACCTCATTTCTGAAACTAATACATTTTTGGCACTACCTTTGTTTGGGCTTTCTGAATGAATAATAGTGTGTTATTTTCCTTCCGTGAAGACAGTCTGAAAAGTTGTGCACACATGACCTTTATGTCAGAAGTTCAATACACACTGTCTAGCTTTGTATTTGTTATTTTCAGTTTGACTAATCTCTTTCTGTAGTGCTTGAACTTGCCAATGCTTTATTTCCTTAATGGATTCAATAGTGGCAAGTGAAAACACAGCCAGAGGACTCCACTGCCTTGTGAATATTTGGACTTTGATCAGTGGAGATCTGTGATTGTTTAGTTATGCTTTCTACTGTAAGAGATTACTTGCATCATTTAAACAGACATTTATTTTTTTCCAATGAGCATTACATTCATGGAAAAACAATGGGAAGCAACATCTTGCAATGCCAGAGGAAAGGAATTAATTGTGCACTGTATGTGTCCCTTTTTTTTACAGGAGAGCACCACCAGGAAAATGCCGAGTTGAGCCATCGCCAGTGAAAGTAAAAAGCAAGCGCATCCCGTTTGTGCCAAAGGAGAGTGAGTGTCACTGTTGTTGCTTATTATTGGTGCATCTTAGCTGGCAGCAGATACAAACTCCACACTTGCACTATCTCCACATGTGTGGAGACCACCCAGAACTTCACTCTTCAGACTATCCTCAAAATTAATTCTTACCAGTTGTTTTGGATCTGAAGAGTTGGTTCAAATAAGGCATAAAGTATTTCCCCTGTCCTGGCCATGTGAAATTTGCTTTGTAGTTTCTGGCCCTGTACAGTCTCCCTTTTCCATGCTACATTGTACTTGTTTCATTACCACCAACTGGGTTTCCCTGTAACTGTATGGAGACCCTGTGCTCAATGGTGCTTTTCAGTGACATGTGATTTTTTGCAGAGCTTCAGGTTGTGAGGAGTATTTCAAGAGATGAAAGATGTGATTGCTGAAGGGTTGGGAAGTAGCTCATTGAGCAAGATGAAGGCTGAGTCATTGTTAGTTGAAAGTGAGAGAATATGGGATGATAAAATGCTCCCAGAAGAATAAGTTATCAGCCATTTAGGTGAACTTTTGGCTTACCCAAACCCTCCAGGGCTTCTTGATTGCTTCATACTGCATGAAGTATTGAAAGTAAAGAGCAGTCAGTGATGTAGCTGAAGTTGCAGCAAGCCAGGTACTATTTATGTTAGACACAACAACCTAAATACAACATTAGAATCTCAGGATTAGATTAGGCAGTATCACTGTTCTTTTCCCCTGTGCATTTAATTTACACACTTAAGTACCTAGGCAGTACTTTGACAACTTCCCTTCAAAGTCAGCATATTCTATGGACTTTGTCACAAAGTTAATATTACTGTAGGGACTATAAAGTCAGGATACTTTTATTTAATTTTTAATTACATTAATCATATTACACTGCATTTGAGTCACTGGCAGTTCCTGCAGCTCTGGCTTCAGGGAAAAATGAGGGCACTCAGCACCTTGCAAGACTGAGTCTTTAAGGTGGAACAAGATCTAAGGCTAATTATTGACTGTTGACATGCCTGAGCATTCAGCACATCTTCAAATATATTTGCATTTGCAAGCTGGGCAGCAGTTTCCAAACATTAGTAACTTGTTTCATGTTCGACCAGTTCTATCTCTGTTTCTGCTTATACATTATTCTCTATGCAAGTCCAAAGTTCAGATTTTTAACTATACATATAAGTAGATATTTTGGGTTTGTTTACAAGTTAGTTTTCATCATAACTTAAAACACAGAAGTGGTGGGAGAGATTCTACGAAGTGTCTCATGAACTAAATTCACTTTTTTGGTGAAAACCAAATACAAACATTTTGATTCTGAAGCATGCAAACAAGAATGTGTAGGTGTAAATATTTACTGTTTTGGTTAGTATTTAGTGTGAATGTAACAGAATCACTAAGGCATGTGGCTTGCATTAGCTAGATGAGTGCATTTGTTGGAAGTGTATTTTATAAACAGCTTAACAGAGAGTAATGTATAACAACAACTTGATTCAGTGAGGTGAAAAGCAGTCCCAGGTGACCACTAGCTTCCATACAGCCCTACAGATCATTATATGAGTTCCAGGATTTTTAAGTGCCTTGCTAGATCAGGCTCCAGCAACTGAGCTGTGCACAGGTAAGGCTTTCAAATCCATTTCTTGCCTTCAGAACCTCAGCTACCAAAGAAGGGAAATATTCTCATGTCACAAACACAATTCCTCTTCGAAGAGCAGTAACTGGAAAAAAAATGGACCACTGCAAGGGTTTGTCTTCTGGGGACAATAGATATTAAGTACAAATAAGACAGTCATATTTTTCCTCCTCTTTGTACTACAAAGCAAATGATGAATGAGAGTGGATAAATCTGGGATATAATTCAAATAGTCATGATGTCTTTGCAAATGTCTGTGACACTGTCCCAGCTCAGTTGATTGTCATTCTGAGAAATTCTGAATTGATTCCTTCTGGCAAACTAAAACTTATTTTTAAGCTAAAAATAAAGCACATGTGAATAAGCAAGTCCAGTAATGCCTGGAAACTGTGACAGCAAAGAATTTTCAGCTCTTCAGAGTTCAAGGCTCTTTTTTTTTTTTTCATAAGGAAGAACAAACCCAACCTCAAATCCTGTTTTATGTGTTGTCCTGGCAACTCTGTTCCTCTTGCACATTCCAGTTGCCAGAGAGAATTGATTTTGAATGTTCCTGATTTCAGCTCCTCTGAATAAAGCATCTGACCCAGTGGGGAGGCCACGCTCTCCTCTGGTAACGATCCAATCCTAGAAATGAAGAGAAGAGCAGAAATAGTGCCTGTCTTTAGAATGCTTTCTGCAGGAGAGAAGGCTATGGTGGGGAAGTCCTCTGCTGACTGTGAAACTCCAGCGCCCACCCTTTAAGGGCCAGGCTGAGATTTTGCTTATTTGCCAATAAACTGCTTAGAGTTTCCTTTTCAGGAGAGGGCTCACGTGTTGGCATTCTGCCCTGCAGTCCTCTCTGCTAACTGAAAGCAGCTGACATTCTTTTACCGAGGAAATACTGGCTCACTGAGAGCATTGTCACTTCTCAACGGGATCAAGTAGGCAAATTGCAAGAAATTAGTTAAATAAGCGAAAAATCAGCACTGGTTTCCTATAGTTGTCTTCAAGTATTGCCCACAGAGTGACAGACTCATGGTTTCCCGGATTTTTTCCCCAACAGAGTTTATTATGCAAGCACCGATACCCCAACCCCGGCTGGAGACCACGACCGAGGCCCCATGGGGAGGTAGGCCAGACCTCAAAACCCCCACCACAGCAGCGCCCAGTGGCAGGACCGCCAAGCCCAGGAAGGGAGCGGAGAAGAGGGGGCAGCGCAAGAAGAAGAAGCCACGGAACGGCGCCGTGCGGCTGATGGAGCGGGGGCGCCGCGGCCGCGGCCGGGGCCGGGTGGAGATTTACATCGACGGCGAGTGGGGCACCGTGTGCGACGACGGCTGGAGCTCGGCCGCCGCCGCCGTGGTGTGCCGCCAGCTGGGCTTTCCCTACGTGGTGCGGGCCACCAAGAAGGCAGAATTCGGGGAAGGGACCTCCCTCCGCATTCTTCTGGATGATGTCCAGTGCTCCGGGCAGGAGAGGACGCTGCTGGAGTGCTCCCACGCCGACGTCGGCAAGCACAACTGCTCCCACGAGGAGGATGCTGGCGTGGTGTGCAGCCGGGAGGAGGTGGCAGACTGGTGACAGGGGAATTGGGGAAGGCAGCAGAGGGACTTGGAGCACATCCCTTTCTTGCCCAACCCTTTAAACCAGCTGCAGTTTTGCGGAGGGTGTGCCCTGTCTGGAGGGTGTTGCGTCTGTTCAAAGTAACCTCGTGGTTTTCTTCGTGTTTGTCCCCATGCATGTGCCTTGGAGGGAAAGAAAAAGTAAAACGAAGCAGTGGCTTGAGTATGTTGTGGGCAGGGACTACGTTTCTATGGTTTTTTTAATAAGAAAACCTCAAACATCAGCCTTTATAGATTAGAAAAGGGATGCATCCTGTTGCCCTTTCCCTTTCAAAATACAGCATTCCTCAGCTGTGCTTCACAGTGTTTTGCCAAAAAATAAATTCCCAAATGACTGTGTTTTGCTCTAATGGAATCGTTTGTGTTGTTTGCCTTGCTTTGCCACCTGCAGCTCTGAGGAGCAGTTTTTAACTTGTAAATCTGTGCCTTTCTTTGCAAAATACAAAAGTATATATTTTTTTAACTTTCCACTCACTAGTTTAAAGAAAAATTATTTTTCTCTAATCCTTTTTATTGGTATAAACCTAGTGGTCATCAAGGATAACAGTATCTAAGCAAAATCAGATAATTTAGAAAAAAACCATTACATACTGCCTGGAAAAATATTTCTGCAGTTTACACTAGCCCCAGTGGAAAGGAAATCTGACCCCTTTTACATGGACAGGATTGAAAATCTGTTTCTTTTTACATTAACAGGATCATTATCCTGTTTAACCCTAAAGATACTTCGTATGTGTTTCTTCACTCTCCCAAATTATATGAAGCCACATGTTTTTGCATTCAGATTTCATGGGTGTGAGTTACTACACAAGAGGTAATATACTGAAGTAATAATCCTGTAATATTTAACTCTTTTTAGGGGATATTGAAAAAAAAACCCACACAAAAAACCTTATTTTGTCTAAAATATGTTTTTTCACCTGAGTAGTGATTGGAGACACATGTCCTCCTCTTGTGGTCTCCCTGCATATGAAAGTATTTTGCCTGGTTATTTTTTCCCCATCTTTTGATAACTACTTACTGCATTCCAAATTTAAGCTTTAAGAAATCATAGCTTTTTGCTTTGTAAACAAACAAGACCTCAAACCCATGTGATGTGTGCCCATACCTTGTTGTCTCACACACGACTTTCCCAAGGTTTCCATGTCTGGGCCACAGGTGCAGCTATAGACCTACCTTAAGCAATGTTTCAGTGTTGTCAGAAAAGCAGCTGTGATGGAAACAGCAAGCATTCCTTAACAATAATGTGGTAAATAGGGATGCTATTTTTAAGGATAAAAGAAAAAGCCTGTAGTGTTCAGCCAGTTGTAAGCACTGACATCAAGTAGTTTGTCCCCTGGGGGGATTAGCTGTTGGCAGTGATTAAACCCTTGGACTGTTTTTGTTATTATTAATGCCTTGACAATTACTTGTCCACTCCATGCTTGAAAATTTTATTGAATGAGAATGATCAGAACATCAGTATGTATAAGCAGGGCGACAACCAACTCAGTGTGAAAATCACTGCAAAGGTCTATAGTTGGCAGTGTTGAGTAAGTAAGATATAATCCCACTGAAGATTTTGTTTTGCAAAGGTATGGTTGATTCCTGCATCCAGCATAATCTTTGGCAAAAGATCCGGCTCTAGGTCAGCTCATTTATTATTATTAACTTTTTATGAGAGTTTTCCTGTCCACATCTGCCAGGCATGGAGAGGAGACAACAGTACAGCACTGCATGTCAGGCTTGAGCAAGGTGGCTCTGATGGTTTTGTAAGGTGCCAAGGTCCAGTGCTGCCCATGTGGGACGTTATTTCCACCCCCATCCTCCCCCTCGCAGAATGAAACAGCAAAAAGCTTTATCTTAAGCCTGATTAAGTCAGGATGTCATGCCCTTAAGCCAGAAAAGACATTTGTTTGTCAGTACCTTCAAAACAAAGATTTATTTTTTTGCCTGGTAAATGAAGGGGCATCAGGAAACATTTCCTGTCACCAGAAGGGAATGAGCTGTACTGTTAAATCTTCAGAGCAGTTCCCAGCATGCCTGTGTCCCTTGCTAACCTGCACCCTCCCAGATCACCTTGGGCTAGGTCAGGAGTTACTGACCTGATAACCAAAGAATGACTGCTTAATTTGTTAGTGTAGATGAAGCCTTTGTGAAATCCAAACCCAAGGTGGCTATTTTTATTAAAGGATGGAAATTCCCATTGAAAGGCCCATTGTAGGCCTTTTGGTAATTTGTTTTCTGGATGATACAGAAACAAAACTGTCTTTGGAGCAGATCAAATGTATAGGGAGACAAAATGACGGCTTTATTTTAATTTTTTGCCTCTGCTGTTGAACAGTGAGTATAGCATTAGTATTTGGACTGCTCACTTTCCCCCCCCCCCTTTACTTTTACTGTGTATGCTATATCGTGGTTTTAGGGAGATGCCAGATGAGTTGCAGACCACAAGGTATTTCATTTCTATGTGTGCAGCAATTCTTTAAATCAAGATTTTACACCATCTGTGCTCTGCTCACCTTTCCTGTATGACACTTAAAGACACCTTAGAGAGAAAAAGGGCTTCTGGAGGAAGCAGCAGTGACTGTTTTGAGAACCATGGTCCCAGAGGCTCATGCCATACACAGGGCAATGGGGAAAGTCCTGAACTGCAAAGGTCTTTCAGGGCATCTGCAGTTCTGCATAGGCATGTTCAGATGATCTTGTACCACCTGAGGTTTTTATTTTGTAAGAGCAGTAGGAAAGGAAATTATCCTTCAAACTTTATCACAGAAGAAAGATCTCACTTCAGTTATTCATCTGCCTCTTCCTGCATGTCACAGCTTGTGGCATGACACAGCACGTTGTCATGCAGTCACACAGCCCTGCTGGCTGACATCCTCCCACCTCAGCCCAGCCCCAGCCCTCACAACGAAGCAGCTGCTTCTGGGTCAGAGATAAAGATGCTCTGGTCTTCCACAGCACTTTTTGTGACTTGTGACTCTGCTCAAGAAGGTGATTTTCCCAGCATCAAACAGGAGGGCAAGTTTTTGCTATTAACTTGATGCACCTTCTCAATTTCCTGTTCCTTGGTAATTAGATTAAAATAATGGGTCATTTTCTGTTTCTAAAAACATTGTAACTGCCCTCACTAGCTTTGGCCTGGCTGGATGTAATTATTATTTACCCCGATAGAAGTAACAGCAGAAGTCACCTACTGCTTTACACTTTATATCCATGTATATATTTGGATACATATGCTGAGGAAAATTATGTGCTTGCTTTCGAACAGAAGTAACATTTTAATAAATAGTTGGATTTAAAATAGGGTCATGTATTGAATTGTGCTGGTAACACAATTTAAATCCATATTCTTTAGCATTAGTCATAATATTGCAGTTTGTTTTATAAAAGAAAAATAGCCAAATATTTACATTTAAGTATGGGTTTTTCCCCCTTTGAGCTGGTGTATGAATGAATGTAAGTGTAAGCACACAGCACTAACTATCTCCCCACACCTTGCAAAGGACTAGCAGCAGAGGAGCAATCACTGAATGTTTAAGTGCAGGGAGATTAAGGTAAATGTCTCTCCTATATTTGATTAAAAATTCTGTATGGTCTTACTTTAAATAAGCCTCACTACTTTTCACATTGTCTGTCATAACAATAATAAAAAAACCAGAGAGATCAGATATTATTACCTTGCTGTCAGAAGAACAAGGTGGGTTTTGAAGTTGTACTTCAACGAATATTTTGAAATCCGCATCTGTGGCAGAGCTGCTAGGGCTGGGCAGAAGCACTGAAATCCCTGAATAGTAGTCTGTCCCTGTATTCCACCTGGACAGTGTTTTTGCCTAGAAAAGGAGGAGATGCCTAGTAAAAGCAGTCCTGAAGTTTGTGTTTCTGCTGGAGATGGCTGAAACACAGTATTCATGCTAGTCCCAGACCCCCACTAGTTTCATATGGATCTTTAGGCAGGGGGTGAGCTCTTAGACCATAAATTCACCAGGAGAAGTAATAATTTAATCACCATCTGCACTCAACCAGTAGCACACAACAGATGGAGACACTTAACAGTAAAATTAAAAGCTCTTTATTTAGAAATGTATCATATTGGTAAATTCAGACTGACCAGGATGCCTGATCCTCTGGTGAATTGTGTGCTGCTGGAGGCATTTCCCAGCACAAGAACTGCCTATGCTGTGCCTTCTCTTTGCTGTCCTCATTTACAGCCTAAATGATGCTGGACTTGAGAGAGAGAACAGAAAATGCTTTTAAACTTAAATAGCCCTGGAAAGCCAAGCAAAAGAGAGCAGGAGTTTGGACTAACACTATATCCCATCAATTTTTCAAATTCACCTTGGAACTTCACACCAGTTCACTGTTTCCAGTTCTCTCCCCTTCTGTTCGGCTTCCAAATCTCTCTTGCTTCTCGTGTTTATGGGAATGTGTAGGTTGGCAAGGTGTCCACGCGATGGCAGTTCTGTCCCCAGCAGCAAGGTGACAGACAGGGAAGCACAGCGTGCCCCAGCCTCGCTCCTTCATCTCAGTGCAGCGTGTGGCTTCCAGGCAGATCATAAACACAACAGTTCCTTGGGATCATGTCCTTCACTCAAGGGTATAGAAACACGTTAGAATACAAACAAAAGGTTGTATTAAAGCTTGTTGGAACAGAAACAAAAGTTTTTATTAAAGTTCATCTTTGAAGCATGGAAAGTAAGATAAGTTCAGCAGTGTACACAGGCTAAATACCTAGGGGAGTTATCAGCTGATAATTATATTTGCTTGAGAAGCTTAATTCTGAGAGCTTACCTGATCTGCTCAGAGATCAGAACTGCATCACATGGCCTCTCTATCCCATCAAAATGTATAAAATACCAAATATTTTATCACCTCCCTGTGAGCTGCTCACAAACAAGATACAAGCAGGAATTTTTCACAGGAATTATTCTGAGACTGATCCCAAATGAAAGAACCCCTTAAAGATAGTTACAATCTATTCTTGAAGTATGCTGAAAAAAACATTGATGAAACTCAGAAAATCAATGTTTCATCAGGAGGTTCACTGAGTGCCGTTAAAGACATGGTTTCATTAGCTAGTTTTAGTTTTTAAGCACTTTCTCTTGCTAATGCTATTCTTGTGATCAGATATATCTTTCCTAGTGACGCAGGATATTCGTGCCGTGACATCATAATATAGAGGGATTGGCCAGTGGGGAGGAACAGTAGCTTTTTTTCTGAAAACAAGCAGCTATAAAACCCCAGCCTTAATAAGAAAAAAAAAAAAGGTAGTTTTGATTAAGATAAACAGAAACAATAGTTAGATAATAATGATGCTCTTTGAGAATATATACTCAAAAGAGAGGGGAAAATAAGTCAGGGTTGTTGCAATTATTTTGAGCCAAAGAAGGAACTACCAGTTCAATAAAAATCAATGTTAACATTGAATGTAACAGAAAGCCAAAAAATAT